CATATAACAATTATAAAGAATTGGTACAAGTGACACCATCTGTTGACGGTTAAAGACATTAATTCAAAAATGTGAAACATATAATACGAATGTATTAGCAGTGACATCTCTTGAGTATACAAGACATCTCTCTAAAAGCACATTGAAAAGAGTGTAAGAATTTATCATTATCGCTATCTTTTGAGTATTTGTGGAAATATATTTTTAGTATTCAGAAGTTTCATTTCCGATACACTGATGGTGGTACTGATTATTCCTTTTTTTACTTATCTTTATCATTATTTCATTATTTGCTTTCCTTGTGTTATACTTGCTCTCCGTGTTTTATTCATGGTTTATTGTCAAATGAAAATATTTGATGTTTTAATATTTAAATGAAGCATTTAAATGTTATAATTTTTAATATTTTTAATAAAATAATTTATTAATTTTTAGTAATTTATTAATGTAATATAATAAATAATTTATTATATTACAAAAATTTATATTATAAAAATATATATTATAAAAATTTTTATTTTTTTTTTTAAGTTATTAAGTATAGTTTTTTATTGATTAATTATTAATTATAACTTATTATAATTCAATATCAATCACCGATTGATACATTTTATATTAAATTGTAATATGAATATGAGTAAAATGATTATTCATCTACATCGGTACATAATGTACATGCAAAAAAATAAGTAGATATTTAATATATATAAAGTATCAAGGTATCAGTTTATCAGTGTAGTATGTCTGTGTCTGTGTGACTGTATGTCTATTATTACATGCTTAATAGTGTTTTTATTATTTTTATATTAAATTATATTTCATTAATAAAATAAAAAAGTAACAATGGCAGAATTTGTGGAAAAACGATGCGAGGATATGATTCCCGAATTAGAACAAATGGAAAGAATTAAAATTTTTGATAAAAATGAAATTCGGTAAGTGAAAAGGTTATTCTGTGATATATTTCAAAAAAGAATTAATATTTTTATGAATTATATAGAGGAATCGCAAAAAAACTTAAAGAATATGAATATAAAATTCAGCGACATATGAAAACTAAAGAAGATTATCTAAGATATATACAATATGAAATGGATCTACTTAAATTAATTAAACAACGCAGAGATGTATGTTATTACATATTAATAAATAATTAATTATAATATAATTATAATGTCTTGCATCCTGATCGTAAGAACAAAATATCTAATTTGTAAGGCAGGATTTATATCAAAAATTTTATTTCTGTATGAATAATAAAATAAAATATTAATATTTCCTTTATTTATGTTAAATAAAATTTATTAACTAAAATAAAAGCATTTCCAAAAAGTAAATAATTTGGAAGATAAAATTTTAACCAGAATGCAAGATAATATTTAACAATGTATTAAGAATATAATTTTTTATTAAAAAATGTAAAAATTTATTTTATTTAATAGAAACTTGGTATTATGCAAAAGAAATCAGATATTGATTATACAATTATAAATAAAATAAATCATTTGTATAAAGATGCAATATTTAGATTTCAAGATGATATTCGTTTTTGGATTGCTTACATAAAATTTTGTAAGCATGTTGTAAGTATTTAATTTATAATATTTTTATTGAATCTTCTAAATTATTAATTTGTAAATATAAATATGAATATAAAATGTGGCAGCATTTTCACAACAATGTTAGTCACATGTTAGGTAGAATGTTACAAGTTCATCAAGATAAACCTAAATGTTGGCATATCGCAGCACGTTGGGAATTAGAAGAAAATAAAAATAAACAAATTGCACGTCAATTTCTTCTTCGTGGTTTGCATATACATCCAACTTCTCAATTATTATTTATTGATGCTTTCAAGTAAATCATTGCATCTTTTATAAGTTTTTAATATTTATATTAAATTAATATTTATATAACTTATATTTATTTATATTATTCTTATTTCTTTAAATATTAATTTTATGGCTTAGATTAGAATTAGATGAGGTATTAGTTAATGATCAGAAAAATGAAAATAGTGGTGACAATACAGTACAAACTGAGACTGATGATGATATGAGTATTGGATTAAAAAGAGCTTATATCATTTACCAACAAGCATCAAAACGAATTAAAGATATTAGATTTATAATAGAACTATTAAATATTGCAAAAAATCATAATAATACAGAAAAATTACAAAACAAAATTCTTAGGTAAATATAATAAATTATATTAAAATTGTTAATTATTTTTAGTTTGATTTTAATACTTTTTTTAGTGATATGATACAAGAGTATACTCATGAACCTCTAATGTGGGATACAATGGCCCGACGAGAATTAGAAGGACTTCTTCAACCTTCTGTTAGTAATAATACAACAATGAAAATTGATTCAGAAAAAACATCATTAAGAGATCGTATAACATCTTGTAATAAAGTTTATCAAACAGTAGTTAAGAAAATTAAAACTGAAGAAATGTGGTCTTTATACATAGAATGTTTAATAGAAATTAATCAAAAACCTGGAGCTTTACCAAATTTTAAAAGAAAATTATTAAAAACTGCTTTATCACAAGCACATCAAGTAAAAAAATTAAAAGAAAAATATTATTTGTATTGGGTTAGTGGTTACATTTAATTAGTATTTATTGAATAAAATAGAAAAGAAAAATTTTTAATTGTAATAATATTTCTTTAGATCAATATGTTAAGTATTGAAGATAAAGATGAAACAACCAAAAATAAATTAAAAGAAATTCTAAACACAGCAACTGAAACTATATCAAACAGTATAAGTCTTTGGCATGCCAGATTAAGATATTTATTTGCTATTGGAGAAGAAAAAGAAGCTGAATCTGTATTTTTGAAGGTACAATTACATAAGGAATTATTTTTAATTCTATATTGATATTATATGCATAATCAATAATTTTTTAGGCAATACAGATACTTGCAGAAAAATCATTACCTCTATGGAAAATAAAAATATTACATATACAAGCAAAATTTCCTGAAAAAACTGAACAAGTTTTTCAAGCAGCTTTACAAGCACATCCAAGTATTGCTCAAGAAATAAAACCTACTTACATTGAATGGCTAGTTCTAACAAAAAGTATGTTTTTGTTAGAATTTTAATTAAAGTATAAAATTACATTTGATGATAATGATTATTACTTATTTTAGGTATACAAGAAGCACGAAAAATATATGATAATCTTTGTTTACAACCTCCTTTTTCTCTTGAATTGCACAAAAAAATGATAGAATTAGAACTTATGCAACCTGAAATATCATTAAAACATATAAGAAAATATTATGAAATGTCAACATTACAATTTGGCAAAAATAATACAAATGTTTGGATAAATTATATTACATTTGAAATGAAACATGGTGATCCAAAGAAAGTTGGAGAATTACATGAAAGAGCAGTAAAAACTTTAGAACCAATATTGACAGATTTATTTATTTCAGAATACAGTTTAATTAAAGCCAATCCAGATGCTATTAAAAATGATATACAAACATTGCATACATAAATAGTAAAGTGTGTGCAGTGGAAATATTAAATAATATAATAATAAATAGATATTTTATGTATCTGATAAATATTCTTTTTAAATTTATATAAAAATTCCAATCAATTCATGATTCAAGTGGTATTTCTTTTTCCATATGTGTAAGAACAATGTTACGATCTGTTTCATTTGGCAATCGTGTTCTATCTCCTGTTTTTAATGTTGCTCTCATATCTAAACACATCACATCTGTTGCTAAAGAATGTTGCTTGTCATCTAGATTTCTATCAACTTGTAGAAGTAAACCTTCCAAATTATTATATGCTCCTCTAGAAAATAATAAATATATATGTCAAATATAAAATGTTAATATATTCGCGGAAAACCTTTAGATAATTATTATATATAAGTTCTAAATAACTACAAAAATTAATATGCATTAATTAACATTTTGTATACCAATTTTTCTATTTGCTATTAAAATCAATTAAAGGTTTTTCACAAATATATTAATATTGTAAAATATATTTTAGTCACTTTATGAAAAATATGTTAAAATATATTATCTAAATTATTGCACCATTATACATACTTTGAATTTTCCAAAACTTTAGTTAAGTCTTTTTCAGTTTGTGTCAAGTTTAAAACTTCATCTTTTAAACCTAATTCAGCTTCATCACGACAAAGTTCAAAACCAGAACGGTAAGTACGATTTTCTAATCTTGTTTGTGCACATTTTATTGAATCAATTTTATGTAATAAAGCATCTTCTTGTCTCACTATTTCTTTCTGTAAAATCTCCATTTCCTTTTGAATCTACATATACATATATAAATTATAATCAAATTTATATGTTTATTATATGTAAAATGTTAATGATAATTTTAATTTAAAAAATTATAATTACTTTAAGTTTTTGCCATTCTAATTCATTTCTAGCTTTTTGCGTTTGATATATTCTTTTACGTAAACTAAAATCCGTTGCGTCTTGTTGAGCTTTAATATCGTTTCTAGCACGTTCACGCATTACATTTAAAGCTTCTCGAAAAGTATATACATCGCTTAATTCATTATCAGCTAAAGTTTTAATATAACGACAATGTTCTAACCAAGCTTCATAAGATATTGAACTAAAAAAATAGAATAAATATTTATATTTATTTCATATATTATATATAAATATTTATTGTTACCCTTTTGGAATTCTTAATGCATTTGGTTTATAGCTAATATTTGCACATGTTCTATCTAAATTAAGATTTTCTTTATCTATTTTAATAGTTTCATCCTTATCTTCCACTTCTAATTGCATTGTAAATCTTACTTCTTCTAAACGATTTAGCTTTTCCCATGAAGCTTGCACTCTACATAAAATATTGTATTCATAACATTCATAAACATATTTAAATATGTACATATTTTTTTTATAGTTACCTTTGAGTTAATAATTTTTTAATATTTTCAATAACACAAAGTTCTTTCTTCAATTCTGTATCAGCTTCATCATATGTAAGTTCTGTTCCTCTACGACAATCTCTCATAGAAATACATTCTGCTGTTAATTGTAATGGAAAATTTAAAGTTTCTATTTCTTTTTCTGTATCAACTTTCTCATCTCGTAATAATTTAATTTCTGCAACTAATTTGTCTAACAAATTCTGAAATAATTCTCTCCAACGTGATAATTCTGTTACTCTATAAATATAATATAAAATAAAAATTTTTCTTATATATCATTTTAAATATTCATTACCTATCTGCAAGACGGGTATTATTCATGTAAGTATCCCAAATAGTCTTCACCATTGTCTCTGAACAAACAATTTTCCCTGTATTTCTTAATTTAAATGCATCTTCACTTTTGAAAGCTGCATTTTGCTGAAGATCCCACTGCTTAGCATACCAATCTGCTAAACCTATTATGAAAAAACATATTTCATATAGAAATTCAAAAATGATTAATTTATTCTAAAAATATATATAATATTTCGATTTAATATTTCAATAAATAAAAAAGTAAAAAAAAATATAATATTTAAAAAATTTTATTTAAAAAATTATATACATAATCGAAAATCATACTTACTTATATGAGGTAAAGGTTTTTCATATGTAGTTACAGACTTAGCCATAATTTAAATAATTATTAATATATAATGTTTATATAAAAGTCTTATAAAACGTACTGTCTTAATGATATCAGAAATAATAAATTGATATTTGGTTACCAAAGCAACGAAATATTGATTTAATATTTTATTCTATTTGATTATAATATTTTTATAGAAAGAAAGTCATTTTTAAATAAAATTATTCAAATATTATAATTTATTGTAATGAGAAGAAAAATCTACCATAATATATATTAATAATTTAATAATATTATATAATAAAGTAATATTATTTTATTAATTTATATTTTTTAATGATCATATATGTTTTTATAATATAAATTTTATAATTTTTATTAAAAATTTATTATATATTTAAGAATATAACTAATATTCCGAAAAAATATAATTTTTTTTAATTAATTTAATAGAAGTCAATGTTGCATCCAAAATAATTATTTTTAAATTTATTGAAAATCATTTATAAATATTATTTAAAATAATTAACAAAAAATAATCAAACAATTTTTTACATTAATTTATAATCATACATAAAAATTATAAAATAAATGAAATTTAATATTATTGTTTTTCATTTATTAAAAAATAGAAAGAAAAAAAGAATAATAAAAATTTAATTCATTTAATAAAAATTTTAATTTTCCAAAAACAAAGTTTTTAATTTTAAAAAATAAAATGCATACAGAAACAATAAGTTTAAACTTCAAGGGGGTTAAAATGAAATTTAAAAAAGAAATTTTTAAATTTTTAATACTCGGATTTATATATTATTATAATATAATTTAAATTCATCAAATTTTATATATATTCATTTTATTTATAATTTAAAAAAATTTTTAAAATGCATATAATCATTATTTCAACAAAGTGCGTTGTATTAAAATCTTTGTTTCAATATGGTGCTTGAGACCTCAGACTATAGTATAACCCGCCAAACCATTTTCGTGTTGTTTCTGAATATAAAGAATAAAATCATTAAAATTATATGAATAAAGAAGTGTTTGAATATTATTAACGATTTATAAGTTATAAGTTCATAATAAAATAGAAAAATTTTAGTTGTGAGAATAGTATGCGTAGATTAAGTATGAAAACTAAGCACACTAAATCTGAAACAAGTAATAGCAATTCCGAGGAAAATGGCGTCGGTCATTTAACCATAGTTGACAATAATAACGAAATGAAGAAAGGAAAGGAAAATAAAAACGCGGAATCACCGCGCAGAGGTACACCCAAAAAGCGTCCCTCGCGTAATCGTCATAGTCAGAAAGAAACAACTGAAAATTCTACTCTGAAGTCCGAAATTGAAGATACTCAAGCTGTAGATCGAGAAGAAGAAAATAAGAATGTCGGAAAGGCTGGTCCTAGTAAGAGACTCAAAAAAGAGGATCAAAAAATATCTTCTTTAATAAAACAAGAAGGAAATAATGAAAAAGAATATGAGGTATGTTAGATATCATATTTATTGTGTTTATTATATATATATATTACAATTATATGTTTACATGATACATCTATAAGTATGCATTATTCACTTTGATTTTTTGCGATCATAAAAAAAGATATTATATCTAAGACATTTTAATTATTAATTTCATCTCATAAAATAAATTATTTTTACAAGAAACTTAAATAAATCTAACGATATTTATATATATATATATATACACACACACACACACATACACACACAATGCATTATATATATCATATAATAATGTTATATTATTGTATTTATCAATTTTTATTAAATCATTATTTATAAATTGCTAAATTGTTGCATTATTGAATAATAAGTAAAAGATTTAAAATAAAGTAACTCATAAAAAATAAATATTAATTAATATTGTCATCTTATTTTTTAAACATTCCTAATATAATCATAGGACACAAAGTTGATATATGATATATTGATTCGTTTTACATAGAACATAGAAATTACATAAAAATTATTCTATGAAAATTCATTTTACTATAAAAAAAATGCAAAAGTTAACCTATATATTCGTATTTAGTCATGAAAGTATATTTATTAAAGAATACATTATCAACAAAAAAACATTGTTAATTACAATATATTTCAAAATTATGAAAAAAAAATTAAATATCAGTCCTAAATAGAGTCATTAAAAAATTATTTTATATATATTACCAATTATCTTTCGATAACTATATATTTATCAATTTAACCAAATGTTTTTTATTTTTAATTATTTTGATAATCTTTCCAAAAATTAAATTAAATGATACATAGCTAATGAAAAAAATTAAAAAAAAAGAAATCGATCGATTTCAACGACGATCGAAAAGAATTCGTGTTAGCATAGACAACCGCCTTACGGCGGCCAGAAAAAATCTAACTTAACTTAATCTAGTAATCGCAAAATGATCGATTATAATAATATAAACTAATTTTTCCTTTTTTAAAATTATTGATGCGTTAACTTGCATTACAATTTTTACAACTTAACACAATATATAACAACAATTAATATCTTGTATATTATATATTATGTTTCGATTTATTATATCGTTTTGCTATTGATTGCAATTAAAATAAATATATGTATAACATAATTATTATAAAGTCGTTTCAATGCGAAAATTTAAAATAAAATTTTTTAAAAAAGAATTTTCCGTAAAATAATTTTTATATATTTTATAATTTTATAAATTATATTTGTAATCCACAATTATATTTATAATCCACTTGAAATCAATTGATTGTGTCATATGTTTATATTTTTCATTTAAAAAATTATAAGATACAATTAAAAATAATTTATGTAAAATTGATTTAATAAGATTAGTAGAAATATAATAATTATTAATTATCTAGGTAGAAAAAATTGTGAGTCAACGTACTATCAAAGGTCAACGTCAATTTTTAGTTAGATGGAAGGGATATGGTGAAGATTCTGACACATGGGAACAAGAAAAGGATTTAAGTTGTCCAGAGTTAATAGAAGAGTTTTTAGCTGAAAACACAGAAAATGAAGAAGATATCAAAGCTAAAAGGTTGGAGATTTCTCCAAAATCACCAAAAAATAAAGTGGATAAAAAATCTAAAAAACCTAAAAATAATACAAAAAAACAAACAGAAAATGGTATTATTTTGTTTTTATAAAATTTTTAAAAATGATCTATTATTATATAATTTTTTTAATTAAATATAGGTAAACAAATAATAGCATCAGATGAAGAAAAAGATATAAAAGATGATCAAAAAGAATTTGAAGTAGAAAAAATTATAGAAGTACATTTTAAAAAAAATAAAACAAGAGAATTTTTAATTCGTTGGAAAGGATTTACATCAGCAGATGATACATGGGAACCAGAAGAAAATTTAAATTGTCCAGAATTAATTGCAAAATTTATGCAAAAAGTTGAAAAAGCTAAAATTACAGAAGCTCGAGAACTTCGAGCAAATCGTCCTCATACAAAAAGGTACACACTAACTACACATGAGCATGGAAGGAGATTATCTCGAAGAAATATGGACAAACAAAGGTAATTTTATTTCTAATAAATATAAATATCATTATATAAATATTTAGATTTTTCTTTAAATTAAAATTAATTATATTCTTTTTTTCTGCAGAGCTACTTATCATGAATGTGATGAATAAGTAATTATAGAATAGCAAGATTACAAAAAAATTATATTCATATATAATTTGCTTTCTGAAAATGATAAAGATTAATTTAAAAAAAATGGGGATTTTTCTATTGTTTAAATTTGTATAAAGTACAACAAATATTACTTATATATATAATAAACTATCATAATTATATAATGTCTGAGTTTCTCAGGCAGCAATTTAATTGGTAGTTTTTCCCAAATTTTGTTCTGTTTTAAAAAAGTTAAAATGTCTTATAGTATTATTTATATACATAAACATATATATATATATATATCTTATGTTATTTGATATTTTATATTTTTCAAGTAAAAAGAGTTTTTTCAATTTTCAAAAGTTATACAGAGCCTATTAAATCGCATATTTATTATATATTATTACACATATAATATAATGTGATCTTATAATTATTTTATATTTAATGCAATCTATCAAATATCCATCAATTCAATAAATATTTTTTATTATATGTACGAAAATAAATATTTAAAAATGTTATGATAAAATTTTAAATAAAATAAAAAGTAGTAATGAATAAGTTTTTTAGTAAATGATTGGTATATAAGCATATAATTAAGATATGCATACATGATGTAAAAATAATTTGTGAATAATATATAAAATATAACTTTATTTATAATTTGTAGTTTTAGAATGATTATATAAAAATAATTTAATAATTTTTAATTATAATTTATCATACAGTATTAATTTTATTAATACAGATATTATATATATATATATATATATATATAT